CTAGATACAATAATGTAACCCAAACCCAGAGAAGATAGGGGTTGGGTTTGGGTTACATTATTGTATCTAGGTTTCATGGGGGTTCCTTTCCAGCTAATCTAGCTCAATTTTGGGGTGCCTTTCAAATGACCCCACTGACCACACCCACCAGCGGCTGCCTGCCAGACTTACATTTCCTTACATGGGTATGTACACGAATCATTGCTATATGCATGAAAATTGGTTTCCTTTCCAGCTAGGCTGACCCCCCTGGGCTCCCGGTCTACCTTCCTCATTCTTCACTAGCTTCGCCCTACGCCACCTACTAGTACTATTCTAAACTTTCTTCTCCCTCCCCCTCCCTTGCCCAGGCTCCCCCTCCCTACACTGCTCCTTCGCTACCCTGTACCAGAACTACGAGATTGCTGACGATGTTCCACTGATACGCCCGAAACGCCGATAGACCGTGTAGCGCCATCTGGCGGTGGCGTTTGCAAGTTAATTTATGACGCTAAACCTAATGTTTACATGAGGGGCTAGACAGTGAAACAGAGGCTATAAGGACAAAAATACAAAAGTGAGAGAGAGAGAGAAGCAGAGAATCGGGAAGACAGAGAGGGGGAAGCGGAGAGAGAGAGAGATAGTAAAGGAGTCATTGTAGAGACAGTGAAAGAAATTGAGAGAGAGAAAGGGAGAAGATGGAGAGGGAGACAAAGATAGAGAGCGACAGACAGAGAGACAGACAAAAAGAGACACACATGCACAAAGAGTGCTAGGAAGAGATGAAACAGATCAACAAAGGGAAATGGAGAGACCGAGAGGGGGAAAATAAGGCAGAGGGCAGGGATACAGAGAGAGAGAGAGAGAGAGAGAGTGAGAGGGGAGGGGGGAGAGAAAGGCAAGGGAAAACGAGGGCAAGAAAGAGAGCAAGCGCCATCCTAGAGAAAAAAAGAAAATTACCCAGCCTTATGTCCCTTTAGTGTGCAAATGGGTGGAAAGTTAACTCGCAGTGCTACCATTGGACTAACCCCCCGCTGTAGCATTTACTGTGAAAGCAGCTGCGTGGCCTCTGGTTAAGGAAACAGAGATAGGCACCTCCCTATGCGCCACATAGGCGCAGGAAGGATTTAACTAACTAGTGTGCAAATAAAATGACATTATTTGTCATTAAAGTATGCAGGCACAGTATAGTTTTTTACTGTATTGGTTCTTTGTTTCAGAGATCTACAGACCAAAGTCTCTGTGCGTGGCATTGATGGCAAGCAACAGTGCAGACTCCTTCTTATAGAAACCATACCAAGTGGTGTATATGTAGATCTGTACCAGGTGGCTGCAATGCAAACACAAGGTGGACCAGAGGTGTGACTACTTATTGTTGTAATTAACCCAGACTAATCTATCACTGGATATACAAGATTTGCAATAGGATGTTGTGCAAGTATTTTTATTATACATACACACCATTCATGATGGTATTGTATAATCAAATACTTGAAGAAATTGGAATGTATTTTTTACCATCGATTTTTTATATAAACATATACACATTTGTATTCAGTCAAATATGTATTTGCATCTACTCTAAGGAACAGCCACCTGTCCTTAAATACTACTTTGAGCATTTCCATTATATGGAACCAAATCTATATCATGGTCAGCTGTCCACAAATGCTACCTTTGCTATTTCCCTCGAGTAGCAATCACATACAGATTTGTTTGTGTAATGAAGTACAGAACAATCATACATTCATGTTACACTTATTAATAGGGACAGGGAAAAAATTTGTTTTTCGGGGGCTACTTTTCAAGCTCGCGTGCATGAAAATAGCACTCTAAAATTTGGTTTGCATTGAACTCTATGCAAATTTACAGGGGCTCTTTTTGGAATTTCGGGGGCTAAATCGCCTCGAGCCCCCGTGTATTTTTTTAACTGAATAGGGATTCTCACAGCACATATATATTAACTAAGATCTATACGAAATGGCTCACTATGCTACCACTTTATCTATTGTTTTCAGGTATACTCTAGCCAAACAATTGATGTTGAGGCACCAGAGTACCTGTCAACACAGCACACGCTTCATGTGTTTGCAAACTTTAATAGCAGCTACACCGGTGAGTTAATAACGAGATAATGCCAAGCCTTTGCATACTGAAATGAATTTGCAGAACACATTTAACATGAGCTTGTGGTGCTAGAGAGAAAGCCTAATACTGCAATTCAATAATGTTGAGATTTTCCTAACTCCATTTAAAACCATTATCTTTTTAATAAATCTAAAAAAAACATAGACAAACCAGGTCACATGTATTAGCCGACATATTACCGATTACTCCAGTATAAATATTGCCACGACATGTGATGGTATGCAAAATAGGAAATAATGCAGCCAGATTCTTCAGTGTCATGGGAAAAGTGCATCTCATTGAGTGACGCAGTAGTCATTACTATTTACCATTTCTATTACTTTAGGCAATTTTGCAATAACACAAAAGGGATAGTAGACTCTTGGATTTTACTGCACACAACTGTACTTACTCTATAACAAATCGTCTATACCCACACGTACTTGTTACCAGATACCTAATTTAATTGTTATAATTAATTACACATCAACGCTACGAAATTTGAACGGCGCCATGACACCCGCGACCGTGCTGCCACCCCGAAAAAGTTACGTATTTGACAATTTATTTTGCACGTTACAGACCGAGGGCTAATCACAAAAGTGCAATTATATTTACCTAAATGCTATTTAATCGAACGATATTCATTTTAGGGCAAATTTATCCATATTATAACTGAAACTATATGTCGTTTATAAGATATTACAATCCTTTTGCTTTTAAATTAATAAATAAGAAACACCTTTGGTCTGTAGCCTTTGGCTAAAAAGTGGTTTTGCGCAACTTATCAGATCGTGCGCTTTGAGTGGCGCCACCGTTATTGTAATCAAACTGTAGTCGTTAGTTTTAAAACATTTTTTAATAATATTTCTAATGGTGATTGAACCATGAAACTTTTTATGTAGCGTAATTTTAACCTAAATTAACTGAAAATAACCCTAGAACCTAGAGTAAACGATACCTTTAACAAAGTATATGAACAGGTCCTTGCGACAAACAAGTGGCATTGTCGTGTAACCATGTAAACAAGAAGCCAACAAAGAAATATCAATCATTGAATGTCTTGGTGAAAGTTAATGACATACAAGTGTTCTATGACATCTTAGTCTTACTATAGAAACTTCATGTTACACTTGTAAGCAATACCAGTAAGTATATCAGTGGTTGGGAAAATACAAGAACAATAGGGAAGACTGTTTGAAATAATTACTTCAAAGTGCAGGGCATGAAATTAGCCAAAATGTGAACAGGCCCACCCAAAATTTTAAACAGGCCCTTAGACAAATTGAACAGGCCCTTACAAGTTTGAACAGGCGCTTAATATTGTTCAATTTATTCCATTATTAATAAAAGTATTAGCTTAATTTGTGTTTATTAGGCATACTCATAGTATTTATTTGCACAGTTTGTATTAAGAAGTAGAGTCTTGGTGAAGTAAAAACTAGTCCGGAAATTAGTAAATATTGTTGATATAAAGGCAATATAGGTAAAACTTTGAATAAGGCAAGTGGACTGATTATATGGGGGGGGGGGGTTGAACCAGCGGCCGCCAGCAAAATAGTGCTAATCTTGCGCACTGAAGTGCAATAGTGTAACAGATATATTGCGGTGCAATTTTTGTGTGGTTTTACCTACATAACAATGGCTTTTCTGTTAATTTAACAGTGCATTTACTGATAATTTGCACTGATTATTTCTTTTACGTTGCTTTACACAGGGGAACTAACAGCAGATGTTACACTACCGATCCATGGTCGGTACCACAGAGCAGACACGCTGCAGTTTATAGAAGTTGTCATAAAACACCCCCAACTCTTGATATACTGTGCCAAGTTTGGTAAGTTCTTTCATAGGCAGAGCTCTCTATCAATTTAAAATACTTAATTAAGACTTAAGTTAAAATTTCCCGTGTCACATCTATTCTGTGTCTATAATATGTGATAAGGTCTACGTCTCCCTGGGTACTGCCGGAACGTACCCTGGGTACGGTCCGGTATACCGGAATGTACGCTGGTAACTATCTGATATGGTTAGGGTTAGGGTTAGGGAGTAGGCGTAGCCGACTCCCTACACTCGTTAGTGGAGTAGGCGAGGTACGGTCCGGCATATTAGATAGTTACCAGGGTATACCGGACCGTACCCAGGGTACGTTCTGGCAGTACCCAGGGAGACATAGACCCTCTCAGCGTGTAATAATGCAAACCATATTTTAACTGGTTGCAACTTTAATTTGTGTTTGTTGGCTGCAGGTTCTTTAGGTTGTACAGGAAACAATGTTGTCAAGGCTCCGTGTGATTCTACCAGTAAGAGCACATGTAACTGGTTGCCTGTTCTTTACAAAGCAGTGAGTACTAAACATTCTCCTGTCTGAGAAATACAAAGAGGAGGAATTTTTTTTTACAAGTTTTTAACAGCAAACCACAATTTGTTACTTCATCATGTATTATAAATACAACATATATTATATGAATCAGTACCATGTTAAGCATAGATAAACATGATCAGAATTTTCAGATGCTGACAAACAAATTTAGACAATTATGGTCATGATTTGGTCATGAATCGGTCCAATCTGGTCAAAACTTAACCACACCGATAAGATTATTATTCCTTGGTCAGATATTGACCACACAATGTTAGTGTTAAATATTCAGAAGCGTGTTAAATACAAAATTGTAACACCAGAGCCTCTTAAAAATATAATGTTTTTGTAATTTCTGCAAAAAAAGTGGGCAAAATGGTAATGTTACGGGGATAAGGAAAATAAGACTGTTTGTTTAACTAACATCATTCTTTACATGCAAGTAGTATATATTTATAATGTGACTTAGTTGTCTTGCTCTACGTGTTATGTCGTTTCAATCCATGTTTATATTCTTTCATTGTAGAACAAGAGAAATCTGAGCATGTTTGTCCCTGTAGGACAAGTGCAGCATCGTACAATGGTTGCCGTGGTAACCGTCTGTGTTACCTCCATGGGATGCTTGCTCGTACTAATGGTCATGTGGAGGAAACGATGTAGGAGAAAGCTGGATTGACTAAGAAATTATAATTCTGCTATTGAATCGGAAATGTATTGAATGTTCATAAAATAATTCATTTGAGTCAGTTTAGTCTAATGAACACTGAGCACGAACTTGAACAAAATATTTGAAGGCTGAAAAATTGATAATCTTATGATTGGTCAGACTTAAAAGCTAGACTTATTAGTGTTGATAACTTTGCTAACTTGTTGTTGTATTTCCAAAGTAAAGACTGAAGAACCAACATTTACTATATAATATGAACAACAGATTTATTCCTGTCCAGTGCCGCCGCTGCCACGTTTGTGTTTTTAACACTGGCTTCTTAGTTGTATCCTGACGTCCCTCGAGCTAAAGTTGTCTTTTGTCATTGCTCTTAATAACATCATCCACATCTAATAATTTTGTTAAAAAGAGCGACATTCCCTGTGTAATATTGTGATATGCAAGTAATACATTCCCCTGTTCATAAAAAAAACAATGTTTATGGAATGTGTTATGTTGCCATTTACTAATTGATTTCAATAATTTACGAAGCAGAAACTGTGTGAAAACTGTATCTCTGAATACTCAGGGATATAAATTCCAACTCTGATGTCTTGCCTCAGATTGTGTCTCCCAATGCTTGTCACATCATATGAGAGATGAGATGGACAAATCACTTTACTCGAATCGGTAAACTTTAGACCAGATCTAAAGGAAATAAGTGAAATGACTGATCTAATCATTGTAATTTCTTTAACGTCTAATGTCTGTGGGATGCAAAAACACGCCCTCTATATCTGCTATTCGGTTGTTTTGTTGTTCTCATTTTTATGTGTAAACTGAGTAAAGGTTCATTTTTAAAAGCATATAAAGTCCATATGTAGTGTGCACACTTTGCAAACGTAAATGTGTTCAGGCAGTGCATGAATTGTGTTTTCGTTGACTGATTGCCTATGAAAGCAGCAATATTTGCATGCGACCTTAATGTGTGTTTATACCTTTCATTTCTTGATGACGTGCAAGTACATCTGCTTATACAAGTAAACATGCCGAAATCACGTTACAGTGCTATTGTAACGCAGTGTTTTACGTTACTCCATAGTTATAGATTGTGATGTAGTATTCATAGCCAAAGCACATAGACAAAGAGAAAGTCAAAGAATATATACCATGTACTGTATATATATATGTATGTATGACTGATGTTGTTTAATTCAGACTGAGATTCACTATTGTTTCACTGTTACAAATTCACAGGCGGTCGCGTCTGGAGTTAGGGAGAGCATTCCTCGAATCCGCTTGTGCAGCGGCTCTTATAACCGCTGGCACTCCGCGGCGCATGCTCACGCACGCGCCGCGCGCGCCAATCACAGCGTCGGACACGTCCGCGTTCACCTGGCTTCACCACCTTCGCTCTGGGCGGTGGCGGCACCTAACGGGGAAGACCCGCTATTCTGTAGCACCACCGTCCAGGATGTGGCGCCGTCTATTCGCGCGGACGCGTCACGGGCGTTCAATATGGTTCCTCGACGTTGGCGATGATTGGCTTCACGCCTCATTTGCTGCATCTAATCCTCTTGGACTAAATTAGACTGGATTACACGGATGACTGAACAGCTGGTGTCAGTCTGCATTATTGTCTTAATATGTTCATTGCTATAGCGCTATGCCAAATATATTGCAGTCTTTGCACGCCCGCACCGCTAATCGGGGTTGTCCCAGAGTTAATCCCCAATCAGCCAGCACCCCATTGTCGCGACTGCGGCAGCCATAACTGGTTCGTCATAAACCATAACTCTGTTCAATCAATACCTCCGCGTCGGCGATCGCGAGGCGATCGCGTCGTGTCGGGGAGGGGGGGTGGAGTGCCTTGTAACAGCATCGTTACACTATTGCGTACTTATAACCCTATTATTTTGAGCCGATCCTCTAGAATTTTGTATGTATTTCTAGTGTGCCGCGTGTCCTGTAGTCTGTCATCGCTGGTTACTGTGGAAACATACTCCTTCCTCGTTAGTGGATGTCAGAGAAAGATGAAACCAGCCGTGCGATGTGGATTTGTTGTGATGGCTGTTGCTCTCTGATAGGGATCTCATATAAAATACCTCACGCATAAACTAACCCTAACGTGTGATAGAAGTGTTGATCTAATTGTGTAAGTTGTGATTCACGTTTTATTTCCATATATATATATACATTATATATATATATACTAGATGTCATACCCCGTTGGAAATCGATCGTACTATTCATTAAAGTCGAGAAACTACACAGGCCAGTGGCCAGTGAAGCCGACCTTTTGTACAATATCGTCTGTACTACATTTCATCCAACAAACGTTGCACAGCTCCAAACCGCTTGGTACGTAGTGGTAGAATGGCGACGCTGCCAAACATTCTTGCTGTTTTCCCATGGCATGGAAAATCCATTGTCATCTAAAAGGTTTTTTGAAAGACCGTTAAGAGTTTTGAAATCGCTAATGGTCTCCCGTATGTTGGCCGTCACGACAACGCGACGGGTTTGCTGACAGCATGGTTTTCCTGTCCAACTCTTGTGAAGCCGGCGTACAGTGCAGAAGCGTTGCGTAAATGTTTCACAAAACATAGGTTGTCAGTCTTAGTGGGCACACGCTGCCTCTCTCCCGGACGATTGTATAGGCCGCACGCGAGCGCGTTGCAGAGCACATATTATATACCCCTCGCAGCACGTATGCGCCACAGCGCTATCAAAACTCCCCCAACGGTCTTGTCTTGCTATATATGCGTTTAGTGTTGTCACAAGAATACGGTAGCGATATCTTATAACTTCCCTTCTAATGGCACTTTCTCTTCAAACATTGGCCAAGAATCTGATGAAACCAGCATCCATCATGTGATATTAACGCGATTGCGTGCTGCGCTGTGCCGCGCTCGCGCGCCATCGACCGCTGCTCGAAACGAAATCAAACTGATACAAATCACGCTATGTTATTAAGTTGTTTTAACGGCACAAGCTGTCTGCATAAATGGATTCGAATCGATAGGTCGTTCGACAACGCAGCAGGTGTGCGTAACGGTTCTTTGTGCTAGCAGCGCGAGCTACGCGTAGACGTTTGTGGCAGCTCCAGCCTCGCTGGCTGTGTTGCCGTGTTTAAGTTGTAACCTGTTGTTTGAGTTATTAAATCAGGATTAAACCTATACAATGAATGTTATTGTTCTTACGACGGAGACATAACACAAACAACTCAAACCACGAACATATTCCGCACGTCGCCATTATTATTGCGGCCGCTCCCTTCTATTCGCCGGCTTCATCGACTCGTAGAGGCTCTCTCTTACGATTCGCAACATGCAGTCATTTAGTGTTTCGCCTCCTCGTTATGTCTTTTTGACAGATACCATCCCCTATCATCACTGCCCACTCCGTTTCGTCCAGGTTTTGTTCACTGATAATGTTTTATGCCTTGAGCTCCCTATATATCTATCTTTTACGCACATGCTCTTTACCCCCACCTTCTTTCTCTTTTTTACTCTTTCTTTCTCATCTCCCGTTATTCTCCTCTGTATTTATCTATATCTCGTTTCCGTCTGTTTTATTCTCCCTCACCCCATATCTTTATATCTTGTTCTCATCGCCCCTCTCGCTGCCTCCCCGACGTTTTCTCTTTCGCGTATCTCGCTCGCTTTCGCCTCCCTCTCTCACACTCTCTCCCTTTTCTGTTTTTACTCTTTACAGAATTCGCCCGCTGCAAACAGCAACAGCAAATCGCGTCGTCAGTAAGTGCCTCATACGGCTTTCTATTTTTTCAAATCGCAGAATAAATATATACGCCATATGCGCTCACACGTACGATTCTAGTCTAGATCTCCCGCGAAATAAAACTTGGGGAAGGTTTGCCAATTTACAAGTCACCCGCTCTACAAGTCACCCGCAGTACTCCACTTTCTTCTACAGAAGATACACTGTGGGCGTTTTAATGGTTAGCGATTCTCATGCAAATAGTCCGTAAATATGAAAACAGTTTGACTTGCAGCACACCGCTCGCCCATACACTAATGCATGCGAGTGCGTGCGTGCGTGTGTGCGTGCGTGCGTACGTGCGTGTGTGTGTGGTGGGGGTGGGGGGGGTGTGTGCGCGCGTGTGTGTGCGTGCGCATGCGTGCGTGCGTGTGTGCGTGCGCGTGAGTGTATTTGTCATCAATATCTATACTTTCAGATGTAACTCGCCTGCACAAATAATAAGGTAGCGGAGCAGCCGGCAGCATCTGATGCGAGCAGGCGAGCAGGTAGGAGGCTGGCGCAGAACCGCACAGCATTTAAGCTTTAGATGGGTGCGGGAGGGTGCATTCGTCATGAAATAAAGATAAGCATTTTGTAAGAAAGAGCGTGCAGCACCCAATATGCTCAGAGCTGCTATCCGGCTTAACATTTGAAGCTTAGTGCATAATATCGGCGTCTAGTAATACTTAAGGCTCACTTCTAAGTAGAATTTCTACATATTTTGTTCAATGTCAGAGTAACCACGTTGTGCGACATTGGCAAGAAATCATCTCTAAAACTATGCCTTCACATCAGAGCATAAATACGTGGCAAATGCCACTAGCGATTAATTGCGTTTATGTGGTTAATGTGTGTGGTAAGGGCGTAATGTCGTGTAACGGTACCTACAATAGGCTGAGGCCACTGATATCAGAGACTGTGAAGTTCAAATGTGATTGTAACCTCGGTCCCTGCCGGCTGCCAGTGTCATTGTACGTCACCTAACGGTACCTACAATAGGCTGAGGTTACCGATATCAGAGACTGTGACGTTCAAATGTGATTGTAACCCCGGTCCCTGCCGGCTGCCAGTGTCATTGTACGTCACCTAACGGTACCTACAATAGGCTGAGGTTACCGATATCACAGACTGTGACGTTCAAGTATGAAGCTGACTGGTGAGTGAGGGTCTGACACAACATCTTATACTAGCGGGATACCCGGCGTTGCCCGGGGAAATCAGTGGCGTTACTCAGTTGGTGACCGCTTGGTTGAAAGGAAACTACCCCAAAAACTCGAACTATCTATCTATCCATGCATCCATCCATGCATCCATCCATGCATCCATCCATCCATCTCATTCCATGCCATCCCATCCCATCCCATCGCACCGCATCCCATCCCATATCCCATATCCCATATCCCATCCCATCCCATTCCATCGCATGCTATCTCATCGCATCCCAGGCCATGCCATGTCATGCCATGCCATCCCATCCCATCGCATCCCATCGCATCGCATCGCATCCCATCCCATCCCATCCTATCCCATGCCATGCCATGCCATCCCATTCCATCCCATCCCATCCTATCGCATGCCATCCCATCCCATCCCAACAGTAAAAAATAATAAGAAATCAAAAGATAAAAGTCATTAAAATAAAAAAGTCAAAAATTATAAAGAATAAAATGAAATTATATAGAAAATATAACAATATTTGATATGTAACCTACATAGGCTTCCGTGAAGTGTTCCCGTCAGTTTGCGATATCATTATCATCTACCATAGTCTATTCTGGATTTTTACTAAACGTTTAAATGTGGTAAAAAAAATTTCAAATTAACGGTGAATGCGGCAGAAGTACATACTAAACAGTCCAAAAGGGAAGAAACAAAGCATTTCCCGATGTGGGATTCCAACCCAGAATCAATGGTTTAGGAGTCAGATGCTTTATCCATTCGGCTACTAGGACGTTATGGTTATACACCATGGATTCACACGTACGAGATGTATAATGTTAATCTGTACGCCATCTATTGATGAATATAATTTTTATAAATTTTTAACTTAAATGAAATTTTTTAGGTTAGCAGACATTGGAATAGAATCAAATAATCAAAAACAAATACAATGCGTTATAGATAATCAAAAATGAATGATTCACACAATACGCGCGTTCACACACGCGTGTGTGTGTGTGTGTGTGTGTGTGTGTCTGTTGTGTGTGTGTGCGTGGTGTGTGTGTGTGTGTGTGCGTACGTGGCGTGCGTGTGTGTGTGTTGTGTGGTGTGTGTGGTATGTTGTGTGTGGTGTGTTGTGTGTGGTGTATGTGTGTGCTGGCGTGTGTGTGTGCTGCCGCGCCGTCGTCGTGTGTGACAGGCGTGTGGCGTGCGTGGGTTTGTGTGTGTTGTGTGTGTGTGTGTGTGTGTGTGTGTGTAATGTGTGTGTGTGTG